GATATGGGGTTTGTGGGGCGTTGTGTGAGGGGGCATGGGGGCCTGCGTGTATGCCAGTGCAAGGTGGGTGGGGGTGCATGTGCATTTTGTGGGGGACTCGTCCCAGGAACACGCACACTCGCTCTCTCTGCCCCTCCCTTATTGCACACCATGGAGCGCTCTCCCCAGGCCCTGGGGTACCCACGCAGTCCCCATGCTCCTGCAGTCCAGCGATGCAGCCAGGAGCCACATGGTGCTGGAGCAGCTACATGCAGGGAAGCAGTGAAAGCTGCGGCAAGCAGACACAGGTGCAAGGGGGGTATGGGGGGCCGAGGCCGTGCTGCCTTGCTGGTGAGTCCACGTGGCTTCCCCTTGTTCCTGTCATCTTTGACAGGCAGCCAGAAGATCACTATTAATTTGCGAATGTTTTTAGGGGCCCTGTGGGCCAGATAGAAGGGCCTGGCAGGTCAGATCCACCCGCAGGCTGTAGTTTGCCCACCCCTGGATTAGGGGCTGGCAGAGGGGGGGCTACAGGGGGTCTGCTACCAGTCCATGCCCAGGGGTGGTCATGATCCAGCAGCAGGGGGGGCCCTGCCAGGAGAGCAGAGGAGCTTGTGTGCAGCTCCTGGGGGGGAGGGGGGAAGCACTGGGCCAGGGGCCCCCCGGCCAGAGCAAGGCTGTGCCCCAGCGCAGGGCGGAGGGGGCGTCCCACAGTGGGGGCTGCTGGCCTGCCCCTTACGCAGCTCCTGCGCCTTTGCCCGGCACAAGCTCGCTGGGGCAGTGAGCACCCTCCCGGGTGCACCATGGGGACCCCTGCCCGAGGACAGCAGAGGTTCCCCCCCGGGGTGCATCAGCTGGGGACTGCTCTGAGTTTTGCCCAGTGGGCGCCTGGCTCCTGGCCCCTTGCCTTGTGGGGGGCTGAAGGCAAAGCGCAGCTCAAAGCCACTGCTGCCCTCTGAACCCAGATCACCCCAGAGCCAACCGTGGTCTGAGCCAGGCCCCGGAGAGGGGATTTGGGCAGGTGGCTGCCCCGGGCCCCCATGCAGCCATGCGCTGCAGGACACGGTTATTCAGCTCCCACAGCGCGGCCCAAGGTCTCCCCCAGAGCCGGGGGGCTGGGACACAGTGCCACAAAGCTTGGAGGCCTCTGAGGCCCCTTCTCTGCACCCTTCCGCTGGGCTCACCGGGGAGCTGGGACCCGCAGCGCTCCCTGTACCAGAGAAGATGGGTCCCTGCAGCCCGGGGGGACGTGCATGATCACCTTGCTTTGTCCAGGCAGCTCCCGTGGTCGCAAACAAAGGCAGACCTCCTGGCCTCCACCCCGATGTCTCCGGACTTGAGCTGCAACACGTCTTCCCCGCCACGGCCAATACGACGGACCTTGGCCCGCAGCGGCTGGGCAAAGCAAGAGCGAAAGCCGGGCCCGGAGGACGCCGCCCTGCACAGCGCCAAACCCACGGACCCTGCCTGACCGCGCGGGGCCTTGGCCGCCAGGCTGCGAGCCAGGCTGGGCCACCGCCTTCCCGGGGCTCCCCTTGTCGTAGGGCCAGCGCGTGTGCGCAGGGACAGAGTCAAGGGGCCCAGCAGTGACGGGCAGGTCCAGCCGGGGCTGTGGTGCGCGGTGCTGGGCCCCTCGGGGCAGGTGCTGAGGGCCTGGGTTCAAGTTCCAGCCTCTCCCTGGTTTGCGGGGAAGCGCTGTCCTCTTTCTGCAGCAGGGCCTGGCCGCTGCGCCTCAAGGGGCCCACGGCAGCAGGTGCTCTCACCTTCCCTGGTACTCTGGTGGTAAGGGTGCTGCCAAAGGTGGTGGGTTCAATCCCTGCCCTGGCTGGAGCCCTTTGGCCCCTTGCCTCTCAGTGAGTCCCTGGTGCCTGTGACTAGGTGCACACAAGGAGTTGTGGGGAGGTTAGTGGGGGGAGGCACAGAGGTGGAGGCCTGGGAGAGGAAGTCTCAGCATGTGCCCCCCAAGTTGAGCAGAGGAGTTTTTTTTGCACTTTGAAGCCCAGGGTTTTCCCCCTGCACCCCAAAACCAAGGCCAAAAAAAACCCGGCAGGCAGCCAGGTGGTTCAGGACAGATCCAAGTGGGCTACAACCTCAAGTCCCCTCTGACTTGCAACTGCGATCACCCCTGAGCTCCAGCTAGCAGGCAAGCGCCGGAGGGGGAAACGGTTGCGTAGTAGATGGCGGCCAGGGGACTCAAGCCGATCAGGGACTTGAACCCGCAGCCCCTGCCACCGGCGGCAGCGTCCCGAACCACCCA